GAATTTAGACCGAATTTAGGCCAATTTTTTACATGTCTGATTTTTTTGATTTTGACTAGTGCAAATGATTCTATACATGCAAAGAACACAACAAATAATACTAGTCAATCTTCATCTACACCTTTCACTGATAAAGAAAAGAACAAATAACTCTCTTGGGCTAATCAAGTTAAAAACAATGTAAACAATTCTGACCAATCACATGATACTAACATGAAAGATACTACTTTTAATATTATTACCTCACCAATGCATTTTTTTACATTTGATGATGTTGCAAATATCACCGGTAAATCTATCACTGATAAAAGAAATTTCATCAACAAGCTTTTCATTAACTTTTCTGATTATCAAAAACTTCGTATAACTCTAAATTAAGAAAGTTCTTTGTTTATTTCCAAATTCTTGATCAACTTACATATGCTGTTATAAAAGTTCAGGAGATAAAACACAACCTTATATTTGTGGTCGCTGATTTATCTGCCAAAAAACAACAGATAGATACTAAAAAAGGCAGATGCATCAAAATCAATGATATTCTCTTATTTGTCAAATCAGATGTAATACAAAATTTTTTTCAACAATGGGATACTATCGCTAGATTTTCAATGATTACCAGAGGCTCCTAACAAATTTCATTCATAGTCTATAAATCACCTGAAGTTATAAAATCCTTTTACAATGATATATGGTCTTTACTATTATTAGATTTTACAGTACGTATTAAATCTACTAACTTTGATGCTATGCAATTAGAGCTCTGAATCAGGTCTGGTCAATCTGTTTACCTGATCTGAACTAACCTGAAAATTCAGGTCAGATCAATAGATTTTCAGATTGATGTCAGGTCATCATTCTTCTTGAATAATTTATTAGAAATAATAAAGTTGATTAAATAAATTAATAATTGTTTATTATATTATTAGGACAGTGACATTTATTATATAATAAAATTTTATTATAAGCATCTACCTCTCCACCCTCAGATAAGATATTCTGATCACGTGTATGCAGATCATTTGCCTTTATAGAATCATGCATCAAAAGAACGAAAAGTCAAATTAATCAAATTCTTTATTATTAAATAAATTTTAAAAAATTTAAATATTTCTAATTGTATTTTCTATTCCAAAATCTTAAAATCATATTCTAAAATTTTAAAATTATGTTCTAAAATAAAGTATTCTAAATTGTATTCTAAAAAATTAGTATTCTATTATGTTGCGTACTAATAATGTTTATGCGCTATAACGATTATGCGTATTGCTACATGAGAAAGAGGTTTTTGCGATTAAAAAAATTAGTCTTGAACACGTTCGATTATTTTCATATTTTCACTACAAAGAACTTTTTTCATAAAACAAAAACAATCAATATCGTATTTAAGTAAAATGAATCGCCAGACCTTTTTTCTTAACCCTAGGTTTGACAAAAAACTAATATACAAGTCTTCTGCAAATAAGTATCAAAATTTCACAAATGCTTATATATACAGCACTATGGTTAAGACAGGAAATGGTACTCCTAACTGTGCTGATACTTGTCACAAAGCTGCACAAGAATAAAATAAGATTAAATCTAAGAATGAAACTGAAATTGATGATATCATTAAAAATTATTTTGCTACTTCATTTAATCTATACGATATACAAACTTTGAGGCCAAAATGTCCAGTACATAGAAAAAATCCAATTACAGCTTCAACTCTTCCTGTTAATCATTCAGCAGATTCTGAACCAGAGATTCCAGTAAATGCATCAGCTCAAAAAAGGCAGCAAATAAAATAACAATAGCCAAAAAGAAACTCATCGAATTTGAACAAATTTATAATTTTACAACTGATTATCAACTTCGACATGATACATATATAAGGATAAAGGATCTTTGAGCTGAAATCAAATCTAATAAAGAGAAAATTATTAAATTACAAAAGAACGCAAGTTATGCTCGAAAATGCAAAGAAAAAAAAGAAAAATACTTATCAAAAATCAGGAAGTGATACAGTATGATAAATCCAGTTATCCTCTACTTCTTTTTAAACATCCAAATTTAAATGATCATATTCATGATTCAATTGAGTTTGGGACAGCTGATGAAAAAAGAAGGAAAGAAGTAGTTAAAGTTCAGATAATTGAAATTTGTGTAAAAATTTTGAGGAAAACTACAATGTCTACATGGCAAGAACAACACTAAATAATTACCTGTTACCTTGATAAGCTAACTTGATTGCTGCAAAGGCACATCATCACCCAGCGTGGGTTGCAGTATCTGGTGTTTTACGAACAGAAATATGAAATCACCTTGATGGATACTATTACCTTATATCAGTAAAATGTGCAAAGCAATTTGCTTTACTATTTGCTGATGCGAGTGTTGTTATTTTTCAAGATGATAAGGCAAAGATTAGTTTAGATATACCTGCAGTAAGACGGACATTTCATAGATTACAATCGATTAATGAACCTATAAGTGTAGTAGATTATGATTTTCCTGTAGGGTTTGGACAAAAATTAATTCCATCAGTTTATCTTATGATAAAACTGAATGAAAAAATAATGATCTACAAACAGGTCAACTTGCTATCTTTGTATATCATTAATGGTTGCTTGGTATATCCATACTTACGCACATGCAGAATCTTGAATACCTTATCCAAGATTCCCAATATAATAATGTACTAAAGTTTAACGAAGAAAATTGACCGATTTGGATGCTATTAGTAGACGGAGAACTGGACAAGAATCTAAGGCATCTAAAAAATATAAAAATTTATTGTCAGTTCTTTAGAAAATTTAACCTGGACTATCTGAGCATACAAACGCATATTCCAGAATAATTCAAGTACAATCATGTTGAAAGGGAAATGGCAACACTATCTGGCAAGTTGGTAGGTATTATGCTTCTAATAAATCACTTTGAAATGCATTTAAACACACAAGGTAAAGTGATAAATCCAGAATTAGCTTTTCAAAATTTCAAATATGCTGGAAAACTCTTTGTGATATTTGGAATTGTGATTTAATTTTTGAAAAGCATGTAAATGCCAAGTATGTCGAAGAGTCTAAAAATCCATTTGAAAATCTGCAATTTGAGAGTACAGATAAAGAGAAAGCAGAAGAACTGAAATAACAAGAAAAGCAAAAGAAAAAGAAAAGAAACAAACAACCAACTTAACTGAATGTTTTGTACTATGGTCATGGATTAAAAATTATTATAACTTGTACTAATATTCTTTTGATATCAAACGATGTACAAATGTAGACTGCTGTGGGCCATCTCATGCAAAAGAAGCCATAGAATTTTTACAAATAAATGACGATTTTTTGCCTCTTATCACAAAAGCAAAAGATGAACATTATACAAATCCAATACATCTTCTCGAATATTATGATCGTTTAAAGGTTCCTGGATATGATTCGCATTGTCCGTCTCTTGACAAAACAACTTATTTGCGTCTTTGCTGTTTTAAATGTAAAAAGTACTTTCCAACTCTTACCTTTATAACAAATTACAAATGAACAAGACATTCTTGTGAACGATTTAAAAGAAAATCTAAAAGTCAAATTAAGCAAAATTCTTTGACTCTTGACGATTTTTCACTTCTTTCATCCCAACAAGAAGAGAAATGCTTTTGTTAGACAAAATGACTTTAAGAGAATATGCTTTAGATAGAGAATAGGTAATTTTTTTTTGTATGTATACGTGTATGCGTGTATGTGTATTTTATATACATGTATATGTAAATGTATGCGTTTTAGATGTAATAAATATAATAAATTACTAAGCCACCGTTATTGATTATCATGTGATCTGATTGATCTATTATTACGTGATTTACATTACTATTATTATGTGATCAATATATATTATGTAACATAAGATTTTCATTTACCCTACCCCTAAAAAATTACCTAATAAATGTCATTGCCTTTATTTATATTAAATATTTTTTTTTTTTTTATTTTAAAGTGCGGTAGTTCCACATAATCTTTATTATGATGAGAGTATGATATAAAGTAAAATACAAATCAAGAAGAAAAAGTGAAAATCTCGTACAGAAAAAAAAAACTAGATCATAGAAGACTGACCTTGCACTCCCCCGGATTAATTCTAACTTAAGCTAAAACTATCACTTCTGAGTATATAAATGAAAAATAAAACAGGAGGGGCTTGGCCACTACTGCACTAAAAATTCGTCCAGTGAGATCCAAGTTGCACCATGGTGTTTATTGGATCAACGTTATTATTGTTAGTAGGAATACTAAGGGAAAGATCAAAACCTGAAGAAGTGAAATTATCCTTTTATCTTAAAGGTTAATGTTGGCAGCTTTCTCGATAGCAGATTGATGGGTACACCTTTCAATCCAAAAATGTTGTGATTCTTCATAAATGAAGTGCATGAGGGATGAAAACGTAGCTAAAGCTGTGGGCATGTGGTGAAAGTTGTTGTGAATGAATTCAAAGAAGGTAGTGGGAACAATGCCTTTAATGAGAACCACAAAGGAAAAGGATATTGAAAGGTTCCACCAATTAAGATTATCGATATCGTTCGAATGTGCATTGGTAATGACTCTAAGGTAGTCTTTAACTCGTTGGATGAGCAGTTTCATTTGATAGTTGACCATTGGACAGGTCCATATATGGAAAAAGTCCTCGTCCGCAGCCTCACATCGGGGACACAGGACTGAGGGCGGGAAAAAGATAGATGTCTAATTTTCAGAATTTCAACTGTAGAAAGCATTTTCAGCAACCGTTAGAATTTTTTCATTCTTGTAGTAGAGGCTATATATGATGTGTGATTGATAGCGACATTGTCATTGAAGCAGAAGGAGGTAACGAACCAATTGATTTTGAAAAATAGGTGATATTTGTTGACTATATGCAAGGATAAAATTTGCTGAAGATGCTTGTGCTGGAAGATGTCCTTTACAAATTGTCTAACCGGAAGAAAAATAGGTTAGTTGTTATAATTAAAGAAGCTTTGTAGAGCAACCGTCATATTAAGTTGCAAGACAAAGAGGGTGAGAGCGTCTTTTGCCATAGAATCTACCTTGTTGTTCAAAAGATTGTTTGAATGCGTTTTGACTTTTATTAAATGGACGTCCAGGTTGTGCACAGAGATCACTTCGAAAAGACAAGACCAAAGCACAAAATTGTTGATTTTCAGAAAAG